CAGAAAAAAAAACAATTGAAAGATGAAAACAAACACACATATTTGCGGGGTACAGGGAGATGGGAATTAACATTTACAGCTGGCAAGACAAACGGGCATCATTATTCAGTGTTTGACACTGTGCTTTACCAACTTCAGTTTCCTATTACTGCTAGCAGTAACCAACTTTGTCTTAACAAAGCAGAACAACATCAAAAGAAGATCAACAAAAATATAAAAGTAAAAAATAAGGTTGATAAAATTTAAAAAAAAAAAAACAAAAAAATCGTAAGTGGTGGTCTAGTAAATTTCCACTATTCCCATTTTTTTACTGCAATTTTCCGTTTTAAAAGCAAATGATTACCTCCCCCTCTCAAATAAAAAAAAGAATAACTTTAATAGGAATCATGTTCTTTAAGCAAATTCTAAGTTCCAGTTCGCAAGTTTCTTTTTGCTTCTTGCTATTTTGATGGCAACCAACTAAACAAAGAAACTTTCTTTCAAACGTATCAGTGAATTAAACCATTTAACATTATTTCTGATTACCAATGGCAATCGCATCAAACTAAATTAAGAAACAAACAAACAAACAAACAAACAAATGAACAAACAAATGAACAAACAAACAAACAAACAAACAAACAAAAAAGCAAACAAAAAGAAACTAGGACTGAGAAGACTGAAGAAAGCTTTCTTTTTCTACTTCTTCCTTCTCCTTCGAACAACCAGAGATCAGCGCATTTGACAAAGCAAACTAGTCGGTTTCAATTTGATTTTCAAAAAAAGAAAAATTCAAAATTGAACAAAAGTCAAAAAAAAGACTAGTGGATTAAAAGTGGTAGTAAAGGAATGGTATAGGCTCAGTTTCGTTGGTTACCACTTGCAGTATATAGTACCTTAGAGATACAGGAAAAACTAATTTTGCGCACATCAAATATATTCATAAAAACCTTCAATTAGCATTAATAATAATAATTACAACATGACAATAATAATAAATGATAATAATAATGACAATAATAAAAAATTAAATAGAATAAAATAATGATATTAAAATAATAATAATAATAAT